CTCCCGCCGCGCCGCTCGGCGGGCCGCGCCGCGGTCTTTTGAGTCGGGCCCTGCTCCTTTGCAGGAGGGAGATGTGTATATATATATACACATATAAATATATACATATACACATATATGTATGTATATATAAATATATATAGATAGATGTATGTATGTATATCCTCCTCCTCAGTTTCCCCTCTCTTCCTCCTCCTATCCCTCCTCCTCCTCCTCCTCCTCGTCCTCCTCCTCCTCCTCCACCATCCGTTCCCTATTTCTCCTCCTCCCCGAGCCTCGACGGGACGAGCACAGGGGGGGACATATATATATACACAAGACTGCAGTGGCGCTTCGCGCCATGCACCTTGGCCCTTGAAGTTTGGTATGCAGGCGGAATGGCAGCAAGGTCAAGCCGACAATTTAGCGATAGCTCCTGGTTGCCTTTTCTGGCATCGCCGCTATAATAATGTTATTCGTTATCCTTCCTCCATGTTTCTTTTTCCTTATTGTCGCCATGCCCTGCGCATTCTCCCCATCCTCCTCAGCTCTTTTTTGCGGAGGCTCATCCTTGGAGAGCCTCTAGGGGCCTCACAAAAGTTGTTTCAGGTTTTCTTAAGGCCTTCTGGAGACCTCCTGGGTGTATTCTGGGGGCCTCGGGGGGCTTCCTCGGGCCACCCTGCCTCCACCTGCGGTCTCCCTGAACGACCGAATCACGATTTGGAATTCTTCGGAGGGTGTCTTTGGGCCATCTTGGGCCGCCATGGGGCCCTCTGAGGGCAATCTTGGACCCGTGTTGTGCCGTTTTGGGGCTCTCTTGGGCTGCCTGGAAACCCTTTCGGATGGTTGTGGGGCGATTGTGGAGTCTCCCAGGCAGGCGGCTTCGGACGCCCAGAAGACCGCCGTCTTGGAGCGTCGGGAAGCCGAAAAGAGGAGAACCCTAAGATTCACCGAAAACCAATAGAAAATTAATATATTTTTTTTCTCGGGGGGCCTTCTTGGGAGTGCTCTTGGAGGCCTCTTTGGGGCCGTCCTGGAAGCCTCTTGGGCCATCTTGAGGTCACGTCGGTCACTCTTGGAGCGCTCTTGTGCTGTCTTGGGGGTCTCTGGGACGTCTCCGATGACCCCCCTGATCGCCCTAGGTGTTCCGGGAAGGCTTGGCAAAGCGCCATGTGAGGCCCGGGGGCCGCTTCGAGGCCCGTCTGGAGGGTCCCAAAGCCCCAGATCCCGGGAGTCCGGTTTTTTTTTGGGGGGGTGATGGGTTTTCCCCCCGCCCGAGCTTATAAAAATAGAGGAAGAGGAATAGTTAAAAGTTGTGGATATCGGGGGTGGATAGGAGGCCATTTCTTTATTGCTTGGGGCATGACGGGCGTCATGGCCCCCGCTCCCCCCCCCCCCTATGACGTAACGCTCCCCCCCAAGTCTGCTCCGGGCACTGCCGCCGTGCGCATTGGGATCCGCGTAGGTGTCCGCGTAGGAATCCGCATAGGTGTCTGGTCCGCAGGCGTCGTCGTCGTCGTCGTCGCCGTCGTTCGTCGTCGTCGCTCGTGGTTTGTCGCTCGTCGCTCATCGTCGTCGTGCACGCGGACGCGGCTGGAGCCTGTTTTTAAGTCCGGGCCCATGACGGCAACCATCTGGGGGGGGGGGTCGATGACGTCACGTTTCGCGCCGGCGGCGTTTGGGAATGGTTAGGAATGACGGAGGACGGGTAGCACGAACATGTAGGTGGCGATTTGCACCACAACGCCTGTGTACATCACAGTGCCCGCGTGCACCACAGTGTCTGTGTACACCACGCCGCCGATGTACACCACAGCAGCCGCGTGCAACACAGCGTCAGTTTGTGTCACCGTGCCTGCGGGCACAGCAGCTCCTGTGTACACCACAGCGCCTCCGCACACCACATCAGCCGTGCGCAACACAGCACCAGTGTACACCACATTGCCTGCGTGCACTGCAGTGCCTGTGTACGCCACGGCGCCTGTGTGCACCACATCAGCCGCGTGCAACACAACACCATTGTTGTGTATAGAATTTCAGAAGGAATCCTTGTGACAAATGGAGCGCGTGTGGATTCCAGAGAGAACGATGGAAAACACATCCTCATGGACAATGGAGCGCCGCTGGAATCTACGAGTCCCCCCCGAGTCCGCCCGCATCACCCTGACTCCCATCTGCGTCCAGGAAGCTCCAGCTAAACTGGCCGTCCGAGAACCAAGTGGACCGCTTCAATCGACCATTCTGCGGCGCACGCTGAGATGCGCACGTGCGTTGTAACGCCACGCCGAACGACAGGGGGTAAGAAGGAGGAAAAGGAGGACGAGGAGGCGGAGGAGGTGGAGGAGGAGGGAGGAGGGAAAAACGTCGCATTCGATTATCAGAATTTTCTGGGTGGGGCGTTTAGTTGTCCGCATCAGATCCTGACGTATATGCTCATTCTACCTGTCCTATGCGCGCAGGCGCTGTGGTGTACACCAGCGCTGCGCAGCACGCGGATGCTGTGGTGTAGACGGGCGTTGTGGCGTGCACAGGCGCTGCGGTGCACGCAAGCACGGTGGTGTACACAGGCGTTGTGTTGCACATGGCTGCTGCGGTGTACTTATGTACACCAGCGCTGTAGTGCTCCCAAGTATTGTGGTATACGCGGGCGGTGCGTTGCACACGGCTGTTGCGGTGTACGCAGGCGTTGTGGTGCACGCGCGCGGCGTGGTGCACGCGAGCGTTGTGGTGTACACAGGCGCAATGGGCAGATCGCCACTTACATGCTGCTCGCGTCGTCGTCGTCGTCGTCGCTCGTCGCTTGTCGCTCGTCGCGTCGTGCGCGCGGGCGCGGCTGTGGTGCCGGAGCCAGGAGCCACACGGCGGGGGGGGGGGGCGTCACGTCATACCCCCCCCCGCCCTCCCCCCCCCCCCCATGACGCCCGTCATCGCCGAACATAAAGAAACGCCTTCTAGACCTCGTACAGGAGGGATATATTCTTAAGTCGGGCCTGTCCCTCTACAGGGGGACGATGTTTTAGCATTTTTCGTCGTGTTGGAGTATCTTTTAAAGTATGTTTGATGTTCTGTCGAAAACCCCCCTGTAGGTGGACACGCCCGACTTCAATGTATTTAGAAAATTGGATATCGGAGGCGGAGAGACCTCCTACCCTGACACGTCGATTCAGGAATTGGCCGTTCTCGGTTGGCGAGGGGGGTCGCGGCCGTCATCTTCGCGGGTTCAGGTCCGCCGGATGCGGTCCCAGGCCGTTTTCACTAAAGGGAGGTTTACTAAAGGGAGGTTTGTCCACCGCCGATCGTCTATTGTTGATTATGGTTGCGTATTTGTTTTTTCTGTGTTCCCTAAATCCGCTTGTAGGGGGACAGGCCCGACCTAGCCCTGATCGGACGCCCCCACGGGAAAAACTGCACGGCCAGGATCTCTCAGGAGGGGAAAAAACACAGACTCAGGGGAGGAAAAGGTACCCATACCTCTACCCCCACGGACGTTTTCCCCTTTTTGGTCCTCCTGGGAGGCCCTCGTCGCCACTGCTGGATTCGCCTCGAAATCCTAGTCAGAACGCACCCCGGGAGAGGTCCAGGGGGTAGCGGTATCGGTACTTTTTGGTTTCCCCAGCAGACGCAATTAATCGTCGACTCCCAGGAAAATATGGAAAGGTATGGGAAGCGAGGGGAGACAGAAACCCAGAAAATACGGGAAACGACGGGGAACCCGGTGATTTGTGTATATTTATTTGTGCGCCCCAGGGCCCCATCAATCTCAGGGGCGGGAGGCCCTGACCTGCCAGGAGGGCCGACCAAAAAAGCGCACCGGGACGGCGACGCCCAGATTCCCGGCGAGGTCTTTTTGAGGCAGGCAGGGGCGAGGGGCCCTGAGCTGCCAGGAGGGCTCACAGGAGGAGCACCGGGGCGTCGACGCCCAGATGCCTGGCGAGGTTTGGGGCAGTCAGGGGCGAGAGGTCCTCACCTGCCAGGGGGGCGAACAAAAAGAGCGCACCAGGACGTCGACGCCAAACTTCCTGGCGAGGTCTGGGGGGCAGTCCAGATAGACCCGAAGGTCTGGAGCGTCACGACTTGGCACTCCGGAAGGTCAGGGTGCTCATCCTCTTCCTCCTGCTGCTTTTTCTCTTCCTCATGCTTCTCCTCCTCCTCCTCCTCCTCCTCCTCCTCTTCCTGCTCCTCCTCCTCCTCCTCCTCCTCCTCTTCCTGCTCCTCCTGCTCCTCCTCCTCATCCTGCTGCTCCCTCTCCTCCTCCTGCTCCTCCTGCTCGTCGTCGTCGTCGTCGTCGTCGTCCTTCTCTTCTTGTACGTCCTCCGGGCGGTGCGGGGCGCGGTCCGCCAGCCCGAGAGGCCCTGAGAGCCTGGCGCTGCCATTGTTCCACAGCGGGCGTCTTCGTTTTTTGTCGCTGCCATTCGGAGGAGGAAGCGGTACGAAGGGGCCCTGAGACGCACAAACAAATAAGAATGATCCCAGTGCGACCCTACCTAGGAGTTGGAGGATCTAGGAAAGCAACATCAAACACTTATATGAAGCTAAGCCAAGCTAAGATGAAGCTGAGCTAAGATAAACTAAGATAAGCTAAGATGAGATAAGCAACGCTGAGCTAAGGGAACGTCGCTGGGGGAACCGCGGAGCGGATGCCAGGGGAACCTCCTGGGGCGAGTTCCACTGCCCGGCCCTTTAAGCCTAATAGTAAGAACCCTTCGAGGCAGAGCCTAGGTAGGGAACAAATAACAAGATCCCCCATATTTTCCCATCTCTTCTGGTTTTTGTCTTCCCCCCACTTCCTATAGTCTCCAATCTTTTCTTGGGAACCGACGATTATTTGTGTCTGTGTATTTGTTGTTCCCCTCCTGAAGGTACCCGTACCGCCACCCTCCCCTCGTATCGGGACGGCTGGGATCACGACCTGTGGTGGTTCGCTATTTCGGCCTCTAGGGGCCCTCAACGGGTCTCGGGACCGCCAGAAAATAACTCAGGATGAAAAGCCGGTCGCAGGGAAGGGGTCCAGACCTTTGGGTGTCGACGTGGGGAAAAATGAGCACGACGCCAGGGGCTCTGGGCATACTGCTAATTACCCTTGCCTGGTCTTACCCATTCGGGGTGGGCTCCTGGGAGGCCCTCGTCGCCACCGCCGTATCGTTATGAAAGTTTTAGTCAGCACGCACCCTGGGAGAGGTCCGGGGAGTAGCGGTATCGGTACCTCTTGGTACCCCCCGTCATGCAGATCGACCCGTGCGGGTCCAGGGGCCCGAATACGGGCGAAAATGCCGGTGGTGAAACATGGGGGAAGGAGGAGGAGGAGGAGGAGGAAAAGGAGGAGGAGGAAAAGGAGGAGGAGGAGGAGGAGAGGCGGAGGACGATGACGAGAACGAGGACGAGGACGTGGACGAGGACGAGGACGAGGACGAGGACGAGGACGAGGGGAAGGGGGAGGGGGAGGGGGAGGGGGAGGGGGAGAAGGAGGAGGAGGAGGAGGAGGAGGAGGAGGAGGAGGAGGAGGAGGGGGAGGAGGAGGAGGAGGAAGAGGAGGAGGAGGAAGAGGAGGATTAGGGAGCTGCAGCCAGCAGGAGAGGAGGAGGAGGGGAGGGAGGTGGAGGAGGAGGGGAGGGAGGAGGAGCAGGAGGAGGAGGAGGGGGCTCAGACCCACTCGCGTCGTGATTAAAAACGCGGCGTTGGGCCACTCGTTATCCTCGGCCTCCCCCAGCACTGCGTAGAGGGGATGGGAGGAGGCGGGGGCCAGGCCAGGGGCACGCGGCCCGCGCGCAGCCCCTGGTGCGAGCCGCCGCGCGGAGCGCCGACCATACACATATTGGACCCCGACCGCCGCACGCCGCAATCACGGCCGACGGAAGCATGACCATCATACGCCGGGGCAATACTCAGCCCCTCCTCCTCCTCCCTCCGCCTCCTCCCCTCCTCCTTCCTCTCTTCTCTCCTCCTCCTCCTACTCCTTCCTCCTTCCTCCTCCTCCTCCTTCCTTCATCGTCTCCCTCCCCTCCTCCTCCTTTCCTCCTTTCCCTCCTGCTCCTCCTCATCTCTTGCTCTCCTCCTCTCCTCCTCCTCCTCCTCCTCCTCTTCCTCCTCCTCCCCTCCACCCTTCCTCCTCCTCCTCCTCCTCCTACTCCTCCTGCTCCTGTCCTCCTCCTCCTCCCTCCTCCTCCCCTCTCCTCCTCCTTCTCCTCCGCCTCCTCCTTCCTCCCCTCTCCTCTCCTCTTCTCCTCCTCCTGTCTCTTCCTCTCTCCTCCTTCCTGTCTCTCTCTCCTCCTCTCCTCCACCCCCCCCCCCCTCCTCCTCCTTTCTCCTCTCCTCTTACCCCTCCTACCTCTTCTCCGTCCTCCTCCTCCTCCTTTTCCTCCTTCTCCTCCTTCTCCTCCTCCTCTTCATTTTCCTCCTCCCCCATCCTACTCCGGCTCATCTCCCTCTCTGCATTGCGACGTGGCCTGGCAGCGCCAGCCCCGAACCAGCGAACCTGCCAACTCAAGGGTGCCGTCGCTAGCTTTGGCCTCTGGGGGCGCTCCCCCCTTGGGCGCCCCCTCTTGGGCGCCCCCCACCCCTCGTGCGAGCGCGCGGGGCCCAGCGTGCCTCGGTTTGCGGGCCGCGCCGCGCCCTCCGAGAGGGCGCGGCGCCAGGCCCCGCACGGACCCCGCCCGCGGTGGAGGCGCTGCAACCGTCTTGTCTCGCTGCGAGGCGCGCGGCGCGAGGTTCGCGTGCGGTTGTCGTCTCGCTGCGAGGCGCGAGGGCGCGAGGTTCTCGGGCGGTTGTCGACTCGCTGCGAGGGTCGCGGATCGAGGGTCTCGGGCAGTTTCGTCGGGTCTCGGCGGTTTTCGAGCTTCGGAATTCTTTCCAGCAACTGCGCCTCGCCGACAGCTGTCAAGGGGTGCCTAGATCGGGTCGCCCGAGAGCCAAGGTATGGCCCGACAACTTCGGGGGCTTGGGGCAACCCGGGGATCCGGGCGTTGCATTTCTTCACTGGTGTTGTCGCGCAGTTTCGGGCCCCCCGGGACCATCAAGGATCGATTCAGCCTGATACATGCAGCAAAAGGATGGGTATATAGGGTTTTTGTCGTGACTCTTTCCGTGACGTTGCATTTTTTCGCAACGTCGGATCTCAGGCGACGGCTCCGATCAGAGGGGAGGGAGGATGGGGAGGAGGAGGAAGAGGAGGAGGAGATGCCGATACCGCTGCTCGTCTGGTATAATAGCCCTCGCCGGCGCGGCTGGATTAAACTCGAAACCTTTGATCCGAATACACCCCCAGGGAGCAGCGGTTCCGGTACCATTTCGTCCTCCCGGCCGACGCCGACGCGGAAGCAGACGACGCCGACGACGGGCCTCGACGTCGTCGGCATATCGTCGCGACCGACAGCGTCGGCACCGTCGACGTCGGCGCCCACGTCTGCGTCGGCGTCGGCGGCGTCGTCGGCGTCGGCGGCAGCGGTCGTCGGCGTTGTATTCGGCGTCGGCGGGCGTTGGCGCCTATTCCCGCGTTGGCGTCTGTGCCACTATCGCCGTCGCGCCCGCCCCAGTGTCGTGTTCGCTCATCCCTTCCCCCCCCCCCTCCCCATCCACACGTGTTCCGACTGTTCGCCTCCTCCCTCCCCTCGCTCGCCCGTGTGTTCCGCTCCCTCTCCTCCTCTTCTCCCTCACGCTTGCGCTCCCTTTGCCCACCCCGCCTCCCCCAGCGTCGTTTCTCCCCCCGTGCCTCCCTCTGTGGTGGTGGTGGTGGTGGTGGTGGTGGTGGTGGTGGTGGTGGTGGTGGTGGTGGTGGTGGTGGTGAGGAGGAGGAGGAGGAGGAGGAGGAGGAGGAGGAGGAGGGGGCGGAGAGGAGAGGGCAGGGCTGGCAGAGTGCAGATCCAAGGCGAGGGGACGGACGGGGAGCCCCGCGTCTCGAGAGACTGCTGCCGGCAGCGGTGCCCAGGTGCGGACTGGGGCCCTCGACGTGCCTAGGCCGCGCCGACGGGGCAGCGGGGGCCCTCTGCACACGGCGGCCCCGCGTCCTGCTGGCCGCACAGCGCTGCCGTCCATCAAGAACCCTCTCTTCTCTTCGTGCTGGTCTTGGGCCTCTTTCAGCGAGCGAAGAACGGTATAACATAAACTTTTTCGCCGTCGGGGGCGCCTGCCCCTGGGCGGCTGGAAAGTTTGTTCCCCTACGGTGCCACTTTAAGGGTATAAACTTTCCAGCCGCCCAGGGGCAGGCGCCCCCGACGGCGAAAAAAATTATGTTCTACCGTTCTTCGCCCGTTAACTCTTCTTCGTCGTGCTCCACGGGGCTATCCCGTCTCCGTTTCCCCGCTGTGCACACCTGCGGCCTCAGGGCGCAAGGCTAGGCTGAGGACTCGCCCCGGGATCTGGCAGAGAGCTGGTCCCTTCCTTTGATAGGAGATTTCTGAGAGGGGAGGTGGGGTTCACTTCGCTCGGGAAGTCCCGAACGAAGTGAAACCCCATCTCCCCCCTCAGAAATCGTGGGGCGGTGGGGTAGGGTTCGCAGGTGGCCTCCTATTTGAGACCGTGTTGAGACCGTCCATCTGTCGTTCACCATCACCTTGGGTGTACCTCCTCCACGCGCTGCTTCCCGCCCCTTCCGCTGATTCCGCCCCCCCTCTCCTTCTGTCTACCCCCCACCCCACCCTCTCTGCTTACCATCGCCTATCGCCTCAACTACCCATGACCCCCTCGCTCTTCTCAACACCCCTCTCCTGATCCCCCTTGCCTTCTCTCGTACCTCCTCTCCCCCCGGTCCCGTTCTCCCCCTCTTTCGCCCATACTGGCACCCATCCCCCCTGATACTTCCTCTTCCCTCCCCCTCGACCTGCTCCCCTTGCCCATCCCCTTTTGCGTCCCCCGCCTCCCCTCTGCCCCCCGCCCCCCTTCCCTTCATCTCTCCCGCATCCCGCCCCTCCCCCCTACATACGACGCGCATACGTACAGTACACGAAATGGGGGACCGTGCGCTGCCTTACGTGTCCGATGGGTGTTGTTATAGCCCCCATTGAGGGGAAGCGGATTGATGACTACGGTATCGGAGCTGATGCTGAAATTGGTGGGTGCTTGCGGGAGAAAAATACAACAACAACAACAACAACAACAACAACAACAATCATTTTACCCGAACGCGTGGTGTTCTCCCCAGTGCCAGGGTTTTCATACGACACCAGGCAATACCCCCACTTCGTGGGGGGGCATTACAAGCTCTACCAAATATCCAAACGACTCTTCGCGACCACCCAAACCCAGCTTCCCGCCCTATGACGTTGGGACACTTCACTTCGTGGCGTGCGGACGACCGTGGCTACTACACTGGCGTGGGGTACACACCCACAGAACTTGGTCACTTATTCGGGGCGCGCATGTGCCCAGCATGGTGCAATTGTGCCATACAATACATAATACAGAGAGACGAATGTGTCCCGCATGGTATTATTTGACAGGGATGATGGCCCTGGCAGGTGCGCAACCGTTGTCGCAGAAGTTCGAAAAAGTTGCTCGCAAAAGCCCGTTTGACAGAAATGTTTAAAAAGTGTTGGGTTTCCTACGAATCCGCAAGAGCGCGCGGGATGAGATTTTGACATTTTTTTGTTGAAAAACCATTGGTTTTTTGATGTTTTTATGTTAAAATCGCTCCGAACACTAAGCTTTTGGAAGGATTTCGTCTTGCGCGCGCGAATGTCCACTTTACCTTATTTTTTGCAAGGGATTCTTGAAATTTGATTATATTAGAACAAGAAATGTCATTTTATAGTGTTTTTTGCAAGGGAAAACGGATTACAACAAAACAACCGGATCTGGATGACATCGTTTTACCTGAGGCTTCCTCACGAAAATGATGAAAATGTAGCTGCGGCCTAGGCGCGGCGGGGGGGGCGCGCACCAGGGGGCCCAACAATAATTATTCTTTAGAATTAATAATGTTCAACAACAACAACAACAGCAACAGCAACAACAACAACAAACAACAGCAACAAGCAACAACAACAACACAAACAAGCAACACAGCAACAGCAACAACACACTAACAACAACACACCACTAACACACAACAACACCAACAACAACACAACAACAACACAACAACAACAAACAACCACAACAACCAACAACAACAACAACAACAACAACAACAACAATTACTAGCACGTGGGGACACGTTCTCACCAGTGCCAGGGTTTTCATAGGAGGCGGGCAATACCCCCACTTTGTGGGGGGGCCGGTTCAAGCTCTACCAAATTTCCAAACGACTCTTCGCCACCACCCACACCCAGCTTCCCGCCCTATGACGTTCGGACACTTCACTTCGTGGCATGCGGACGACCGTGGCTACTATTCAGGGCCCCGCGGCCGACGACGACGGCGTGCGCGCGCGAAGAAAAAACGAATGTGTCCCGCATGGTATTATTTGACAGGGATGATGGCCCTGGCAGGTGCGCAACCGTTGTTGCAGAAGTTCGAAAAAGTTGCTCGCAAAAGCCCGTTTGACAGAAATGTTTGAAAAGTGTTGGTTTTCCTACGAATCCGCAAGAGCGCGCGGGATGAGATTTTGACATTTTTTTGTTGAAAAACCATTGGTTTTTTGATGTTTTTATGTTAAAATCGCTCCGAACACTAAGGTTTTGGAAGGATTTCGTCTTGCGCGCGCGAATGTCCACTTTACCTTATTTTTTGCAAGGGATTCTTGAAGTTTGGTTATGTTAGAACAAGAAATGTCCACTTTGCCTTATTTTTTTGCAAGGGAAAACCGATCGTAACAACACAACCGGATCTGGTACACATCGTGTTTCCTGAGACTTCCTCACGAAAATTATGAAAATGAGGCTGCGGCCTAGGCGCGGCGGGGGGGCCATGCACCAGGGGCCCCAACAATGATTATTCTTTAGGAGTAATAATGTTCAACAACACCACCACCACCAACAACAACAACAAAAAACGTACAGTGCACGAAAGGGGGGATGGAGACGTGGGCCCCACGTGGGGCCCTCGAGGGCCCCCCTTGTGGAGCCAGCAGGGGCCCCGGAGGGGCCCTACCGGGCCCCTGTGGGGCTTCCCCCGAGGAGGTTCTTCCCCCGAGGAGGAGGAGGTTCTTCCCCCGAGGAGGAGGAGGAGGAGGAGGAGGAGGAGGAGGAGGAGGAGGAGGAGGAGGAGGAGGAGGGAGGAGGAGGGAGGAGGAGGAGGAGGAGGAGGACGAGGAGGAGGAGGAGGAGGAGGAGGAGGAGAGGGAAGGCCCCACCTGGGCCACACGCCCCGGTGCCGCCCGCCCGCGGGTGGTGGTCTGACGGCCTCGCGAGGGCCCGGTGCGGGCCCCAAAGACGCTCCGAGAGGGCCCCGAGAGGAGGCCAAAGAGGCACAAATGGCCACATTCGGTTGGGAAAGCGTAGATTTTCTGCATCTCCGCGTTTTACGTTGCTATACGGTCCAGGACAGGCCAAGAGGCCCCCCGAACCCCCAAGACACCCCCAGCGGCCTAAGACGGTGCATTAGGTCCCAAAGACGACCCAAGGGAGGCCAGAAGCCAGAGAAAAGTCGGAAATTGGAGCGTGCACATTACCAGTGGCGGGCTGCTTCTCCATCTACAGTCAAAAACCCTGATAAGGACGCGCGACTTTGCTCAGGGTACCCTTGCGTCCTTGCTCTTCCTTGCTCTTGCATCCTTGAGGCTTTCGTCGCCCGCCGCCCCCAAAATCCCAACTTCGGCTTCCAAGGGTCTTGCGTCCTTACCGCGCGTCCTTTTTAGGGTTTTTGACTGTACCAGTGGCGGGCTGCTTCTCCATCTATAGGGGCTCTTTCAGGGTCGGGGGCGACGTCGGGGTGGTGTGGCGTGTCCTTGTTGTTTCCGTCTCCCGGGGGGAACAGCGAAGAACGTGTACGCCAGGATCCCGTATACAACAGGATCCGCTTGTTCGTGCCAACTTTCAGTGCAGGGCCAGAGAAGCGTCGGTGTATATAGAGCTCGGTTCCCTGAAAAGCGGTTTGATTTTTCCTAAACTGCGGAGCTGTCCTTCTCGCTTCTCGGCCTCCTCGGCCTTCCCCGCCGTTCCTGGCCTCCCTTCCGGTTCTCTCTCCTGGTCCTCCTGCTGTTTGGGCCTCTTCGCTGGTCCCTGGGAACGGTGGCCGCCTGTCCACCCGGTCCGCGTTGAAATCTTTTGTATCACGCTGCGGAGCAGCTCTGCTGTAACGATTTGCGGTGTCCGAGGGCGTGGTCATCGATGGGCTGGGTTGCTTTGCGTTGGGGGGGGGGGGGAAACATTCGGAGGGTTTGGGTCCTCCTCCCTTCCATACTCGTTCTCCAGCCGCCTGGGGAGCGAAGCGGACTCGGCGACGAGCCCAGGGGAAGCGGGAAGGCTCGGAAGTCCCCCAGCCTCCCGACAAGCTTTTTAAGCCTTCCTCGAAGATGCAGACAACCTTCCAGAAGGCTGGAGGCCTTCCGAGAACCCCTGCCGCCTTTCCGCAGGCCTTCTCCTTCTCTCGTCCCCCCTTGACATCCGCTGGTCTGATCTGTTCAATCCGCGGCCTCCCAGTCCTGGCTTCCGAAAACAGGCTCCGGGCGCCGAAATCTATGGCAAACGCCAGGGTTGAAAAGAACAAGTAAGTCGCCATCGGGCGTTGCGCAATGGTGGGGTGATCAATGGGGGTCGAGAAAAGTGCTCCTCTCGTGCACCTGAGGGTCCCGAAAGGCGCCCCCTGGGGCCAGAATGGGCCCGAATTCCCTTCCCCTCCCTTATATCGCCCCTCCACGAAGCAACGCCCACCCGTCGAAGATTTGGGCCTCTTCATCCTCATCCCCCTGCCGCCTGGGGAGCGAGACTCCGGCAGGCCTCGAATCCAGGTGCACCCGGTCCAGAACATTCCGGAACGCTCTCGGAGGGTCCCGGAACGCTCTGAAAAACGGCCGCGGCGCCCGACACATCGATCCTGTGAGATAGTGCGTGCGTGACGTGTGTATATGCACCACTCGC